CCGAGGAAGCCGTGAAATACTTGACACTCCTCTTAGCTGCTTCCCAGGAGGGATGCTCATGTTTCCCGGGCAGTACAAATCAGGCTGCTGCCATCTCTGCTGGGGCGCCGGTCCTGAAATCGAGCTCTTACTGCAGTGGCAGAAGCTATGTCTGTTGTATGGCCTGTTAGCAGAGAGGGTCAGACCTGCAAAAGATACGCTTCTTGTGGCAGCTGCAACAAGACAACGGCTTGGCGTTGACTGAGAGTTAAACAAAGGCCCCCGGACCTCGGCACTGCCCCTTAGTGTTAGTCACAGGTCAGCTGATGCTAGCAGTATCTGGGTGTATATGCAGAGGAGCCATCAGGGTGGAACTTCAGCGCTAATCCTAAGGGCCCCAGTCACCCTGCCTCAGCGGGGCCCTCCAAAATCCAGGGTGTAGACAGAGGCTGGGAAGTTGTACCCCAGAGGTGTCAAACTCATTTGTCACGAGGGCCGGAGCTGACATAAATGTCACTTTATTGGGCCAGGCCAGGTGTTCCATAAATGTGTGCCAGCCACTGGAGAGAGGAACTGTATAATGGACAGCAGCTGGTAAGCTCCAAGTTCGTGTAGCCTCACTGCAAGGCCCCATGGGCTGGGAGGGGTGTGTGTAGAACCGTAGAGGCAGGAGTGCAGGCGCACCGTAGAGGCAGGAGTGCAGTGCTGGGCAAATGCTCCCACACCACTTGACTGCTGCAGACAGGGTTGTTCTGCTGTGCTGAAGCCACAATGGAGATGCTCCACCTACTCCCCCCAGCACTCCCTCCCTTGCATCAGTTGCTCGTGGGCTGCATGGGAGCCCTGGACGGGCCGGTTCTGGCCCCCCGGGCCTTATGTTTGACACCCCTGTTCTACCCTGTTCACCTCCATCTTTATTCCTCCACTTCTTTCTTCAGAATGCCTGACATTAATGGGGGCCCTTCTATCCAGAGTCTAAAAATATTTAATTGCACCACCTTATCGTGTGCATGCAATTTAAAAAAAAAAAAATCAAAATCCTTTGTTGACTGAATTTTTGTGACCTGTACCTATTAAGTACATTTATGTATATTTTGCATGATATATTGTTCTGCTGGTTACTAGAAAGCCACCTCCAACTTCCGAGACTTCACCAGGCAATTATGTGCATGCATTAATCCTATTTTTGCATGACTGGGCCTATTAACGATGGGCATGATTCAACCAAAGTTGATTAGATTTGTAAAAGAAGGGAGGGCGTGATCCAGAATAAACCTGATTCTAAGCTGAACTCAGTTTCTGGTTGTCTGGTACATTCAGAGGGGACTCCAAATGTATTATGGTGCTATTTATTCCTTTGTTTACAAAATGTGTACCCTGCCTTTCTGCCCTCATCGGGGTAATCAAGGCAGCTAACAGATTAAAATATACATAATAATAGCACATTTTAAAAACCATTAAAACCCAACAAAATCATTACTGTTCTTATTACTAATGGCATACCCCTTGCCATGCACCCCCAGTGGTTGTAAAAATTGCTGATAACTTATGCCAGGAATTAATACCACCACTGTAACAGCCCCTGTCACAAATGGGTTGTGTGTGCCTGAGATGTGTTCAGGAGCAGCACTTGGCCCCTTACCAGGAGCTGCGCATGTGTCTCATGGGTTGCAGTTTGGCCACCCCCGACAGGGCACTGGCATAAGCTGTCGTTCCATAAATATGTGTTAGCAATAACTAAAGCAGGCATGGAATGTGCAGCTGGGTTTCTGTTGCAAGTGTTCTTGGCAGAGACTTGGCTGAAAAGTCACAAAGATACAGGAAGCATTGAACAAATACCCAGAATACTAATTATCTGGAGAAATGTAACTTTGGTTGTTAAGGGGTGACAGAGAATGAACTTCATCTGTACAAAAGAGCAATTTACCTAAGTCTTCCAGAGTTGATGCACTTCAGTTTTGCTTTAAAAACACCCCTCCCCAGAATCTGCTGTCTTAAATGCCTGATTTTGTTTCTTCCAGGCGACTGAGTAACAATGAACTGACAGCCATTCCATCCCTGGGAGCAGCATCCGCCAACATCACGGCCCTTTACCTGTAAGTAGCAGTTTTTCCACCCTTGGGGGTTCTGTACAGTATATGCATATTATGATTCTGTCACATTTATATCCTACCTTCCTCCGGGGAACTCAGGGTGGCATATATGTGGTCCCCCCTAACTTATCCTTTGTTGGGCAGATTAGGGAGAGGGACTGGCTCAAGGTTACCCAGTGAGTTTCATAGCAGGGTAGGGACTTGAACACAGGTTTTGCCAGTCCTCGTCCACATAGTCTCTGTTGTACGTGTAGTTTCTCCCGTTTGCATTCAGAGCAGCGAGCTGGAGCGTTCGAGAAAATTTAGGATCTGAAAGGAGGGCTATTTTATATACTTCTCCTTAGACTTTTTCAGTTACCTCTAGTAAGAGGAAGGATCAGTGTCGACTGCTGCTGAGAGGCATGCTCCTAGGATTACTTCAGAATCCCCAGTGAGGTAGGCTTTTTTTAGTCAGTAACTTGTTCATCTAGTCAGTTAAACAGTTAAATCTGGCTGGTGAGTTTGTCGCAATAAACATGGCCCCCAAAGCCTAGGTTCAAGCAGGGCAGTGTGTGTAAGGGAGAGATGCCTGTGATGAATTGCGCCTGGCTTGTTTGGGTAAACAAAGCAGTGTCTCAACTTGTCCCGAGTGCCAGATGTTTACTCTGAGGACCCAGGAGGATCATGGCACCCTTCTCTGTGGGAAAAGCCCCTTGCTGCTAAGCCAATTGTGCCAATTACCTGTCATCGGCCCTGCCCTTGAGATTGCATTCCCAGGTTGGGAAAGCAGTTGAAGTCAATACCAAATCTGAAGCCATTCCAAATGCTTCTCTGCCGAAGGTAAAGGATGTAGTGTTAGCTTGCCTCCTTCCTTCTCAACTTAGGCAGCTTCAGCAAATATGAGGAAGAATCAGGATTCAAAGTACCATTGACATCTTCAGGATCAGTGGGCCATCAATTTATCTTTTTTGCTTAGTGTGGTCTTGTTGTCTTGGCATCAGCTCTGAGCTTCTCCACCTGGGGGCAGCTAGTCAGTAGTAGTCAAAGGACTTCAACCATTCTTGTGTCTTTTTGATTAGGGATGTTTACCTGAATATTTTTGAACCAGAAATACCTTATTGGTATTTTTTCAGGCATATTTTGGTGAACTGAAATGGTAGTTGGGATTCCAGAATATGGGATATCGATTCCTCAGATACCCTGGTAATATTGGGGAATATCCGGGGCCACCATTTTAAAGCTCCCAGGATTGTTTTTCTCCCACTTCTCAGGGTTCCTTGGCAATGCAAGGGAGGGGGAAAGGGAAAACAGCTGTCCCAGCCCAGACCAATAGGGATCAGACATTGGAATAAGCATTTGCACTGTGTGTCCAATCAGATTCCCACATCCCTCCCTGAGGATCAGCTATGCATTTAGGTTTTTAACTCTTGTTTCCCGCAGCCCCACAGCAGCTGTGGGGAATAGCCTTTTTAAAAAAATAAAAATAAAAAATAAAGGAGAGGCCAAACAGAGCATTGCTGTGGTAGGAGGAAGGGCTCCTGCTTTCCTCCCCAGGCCATTTCCCCAAGCCAAAACAGCTGGGTGGGGGGGAGCTAATTTCCTCATTTTTTTCTGATCCATGTGGAATTTTCTGTGCCTAGACAAAAGAGTGTGAAAGCAGCTTGGCTCCATTACTGAGCTAGATCATTGGAGTGTGTGGCTGCTGCTCTCAGCTGCTTTGGATTTTTACTGCTTGCTGCCTGACTGAGAAGGCCTTCTTGTTCTCTGACTCCTGGCTGAACAATCTTCAGGACTGATGGAATTTTGTTTCAAAATATTATTTCAAGTTTTTCTGAGTTACTTTTTTTATTGGGGAGGCGTGCAGTTGAAGGGAGGGTTCAGCCTTTCTTTTCCCTCTGGTTCTTTTAAAAATACTTTTTCCTTGGATTTGTTTTGTGGCTTCATGGAGTTTTGGAGTATTCCTGTTGGTTTTTTTTTAAAAAAAAATTTGTTGCAGCTGGTTTAGAAGAAAATCCTGGGTCATGTTTTTTAATAGTTAACTGTACATGAGGGTTTAGGTATTTTGTAAAATACAAGGTTTGGTTTGATGTTGTTTCTGTTGGGCTTGTTGTACTATTTGTATTGGAGGCCTTTGGCCAGTGGTTGCTCTTGTGTATTTGGCTGTTTGCTTCTTTGAATTCCCCCTCCCCCAACCGTAGGAAACAATAGAGACAGCTGGGATTGCCTGGGGCACACTTTGTTCAGGGACCCATGGAACCGGAACCTGTGGTCCTATTTACTTGAAACTTGGGAAATCTGTAATGGACAGGCAGCACTAGGCTCCCCTTCAAGTTTGGTCTCATTTGGTGTAAAAACAGCTACTCCATGCCCCCCCCCCCCAGTCCCCTATAGGAATAGTAAACCCGAATAATTCCAGAATCCTGGAAAAACCTGAACAGAATCCTGAAAGGGTATCGGGGAACCTGAATATGCCCAAATACTGGTCTTTGTGTCCTTCCCCAAATTCAAGTCTGAAAAATGCCAGCATTTTTTTTAGGTGCACATCTCTATTTTTGATGCCATGGTTGCTGCTGTTCTGGTGTTGGTAAGGTGATTTTACTGCTGGACTCTACCTTCACTCTCACATCTTTTTGTTAACTCTTGCGTTTAAGTGCCAATTTGCTGCTATCCAGCAACTGATCCAATTTCAGCTCTGCATATACATCTTGGCTCTGAGTGGCCCCTCCTAAGGGCTGCCCCCCACCCTCTTTTTTTCCTGTAAACAGCCCTTGAGATTTCATTCCAGTTTGTCTGAAGAAGTGTGCTTTGCACATGTAAGCTTACATTTTGAATAAAACTTTGTTGGTCTTAAAGGTGCCACTGGACTCAAAACTTTGTTCTGCTGCTTCAGACCAACATGGCTACCCACCTGAATATTTTTTTTCTTCCTTGCCAGTTACAGAAAAGTGGATGACTCTTGAGATGAGAGTCAGGTAACCAAACAGACAGTCCAACAGGAAAAGTCAAGCTTGCTCAATATAACATGGCATGAGTGGCCAGAGCCAGCCTCATCACAGTCTATATTGAGAAGGATTTTCAAGAAATCCAAGTTTCAGATGTCTCCTTCATGACAAATCATCCAGTATTATACTTTTGGTGGGCTAGGGAAGAGGAATCAGAGAAGAACCATTTCATTGCGTTACTGACAGAAAGGGGTAGTAAAATAGAATTCATTGAGCACAAAGTGTGCTCTGGGAATGACCATGGCTAGCTATCAGGTTATGATAGCAAGGTCCTGGTTCTTTCAGTGGGAGAAACTTTGCGCCACCCCTGACTTGCTTGGAGGGAAGAACACATTAGGCGGTAATTTTTTGCTGGATACACTGCAGCAAACAGATGTGGTGAAACGTGCCCTGGACTGTGTAGCACAATCCACGACAGCTGGGGTTGTTTTCAGAACACAAGTTTGGCTTCAGTTGACTTAAGAACCACAAAGAGATTAAGGCTCTGTATTTGAGCAAGAAGTGCCTTTTTCAACTCTGGAACCGACTGCTCCTTGAGAAAATTAAGGACACACGCTAGATGACCAGATGTGCATCACAGCAGATGACATTTTACAAGAAATTGAAATGTGTTGCTTGTTTCATTGGCATTCACACTTTGGCCTGGTCCACACTAGGACCAGATGGAACTAGAGATGGGAGAACACCCCCCCCCAACTCAAGGTTGGCCAGAATGAGCTTATTTGCAAAGAACTCAGCAAATAGTCCATTGTTAACAAACTTGCTTCCAAGCATGCTGAGATCTCAAACAGTATGGCACACCCAGTGATGCCACCAAAAGTGCCATACAGTTCTGGGTATGTCGTTCTCCAAAGAACTCACCATTCTTCTCTTTGAGTCCACTCTAACCTAACCTGCCCTGCTGCTGGAGAATGATGCAAAGGTGCTGGGTTGACAGGAGACAAACTTGCTGCCCCCTCCATCCTCCTTTCCTTCTTCTTGTCTTTTCTCTCCTAAATGTGCCTGTGGGGCTCAGTGCATTCTGGGAATTATCATTTCCCAAAATGCAACAGGCACTTGGATGGATTGACCTCAGAATTCACTAGTTGCCATGGATGCTGTGTATCCAAGCTGGAGGTAGAGGAGAGGCAGCAAGCATTTTCCTGTCTCTTAGGTGTCTGCTGGCACCAGCACATCACTTCTCAGCAGAAAGGCAGATGAGGGGGTAGGGAGGGTGGGGAGTGTTTATTTGGTTTGGATTTGCCACCAAAGCTAGAGAATAATTGAGCATCTGCTTGATTCACTTGGAAGCTAGGCTTTCTGAGCTGGTGAAGCTTGTACTCTGAGCCAAAGAAGAACACACTTTGAAAACGTCTCTTGAGGAGACCAGTTCTTCCAGAAGTATAAGAGGAAACTGGTCACAACAGCAGTGTCCTCTCATCCCATTTCAAAGAGAGGCTTTTGACATGGAGGGTGGGAACCTGATGTGCTTCCCAGAACCCTTCTTTCTATCCATGTTTTCCCCCATACTTGACCACACATTACTTGGGACAGCTGGGGACAAGAAAATTATCTTGGAAGGATACACAGTAAAGGTCAAGTTCCAGCCTTCCCTGTCCAAGCAATCCATAACTTGGAGAAACTGCTTTCCTCTGCAGGAGACAGGAGAGGAAGAGGAGCAAGAACTATCACCAGTGGAAAAGGTTGCTGGTTTTTACTCAACCCTCTTGACAGAGAGAACAGAAACAAATACCCATCAGGGACTTGATAAGGCTTTGAAAAATTTGTCGAGAGGAGTAGGTTGAGTGATTTCTGAGAGAGACATTTCCCCCCTTCCTGTCAGCCTTGAACCATAATAATGTATATTTTTACATAATCATTACCCTTTCCCTTCATTGTACATTTGGCACCACATGTATTAATTATGTGATCCACCTTCCATGCCAAAAGATCCAGTTGTTGCTGAGGCTTACATTACCATTACTATTCCAATCTACTATTCCAAATGAGAGATACACTACAATAAGAGGATGTATAGCCCCT